TTAAAATTTTAAAATATTCAACTGACCTATAGGGATATGGCAGAATTTAGATGAAAAAAATTTGTTAGTTAAAGTTAGGTTAAATGAGGTTTTCTAAGTTAGTTTGGTTCAAATAAAAAATGCTTTTAACATCATGTCAATGAAAAATATATCTATTAATTGTAAACAAATTTTTTGGAAAGTTCAATTTTTAAGGAGTTCAGCCTATTCAGCAAGTTTAGCTTTTTAGGCACAACATTATTTATATTTATACTTACATACATACACATCATATATATATATATATAATATATATATTATATATATATATATATATATATAATATATATATATATATATATACATACATCACACACACACACACACCACACACACACACACACACACAACACACAAATAATTTTAAATTAAAAGTTTATACGTCAAAATAGTTTAATATAAAACATGCAAATACTATCAAATACTTAAAAAAGTTTACAGTCAACACCTATGATCACACACAAGCTACAAGGTCCATTGTTATGTACAGTGCTGCTGTGCATCAAAAATTAAAATTTCATTGTTCATCCTGAAATCCCCTTCTCTGGCTAAAAGGTAAAAATATTCCCAACTCTTTTCACCGAAAGAAATATACATTTAAGAAGAGGTGCAATTCTACAATGAGCTCTCCAATGTTTCAAGTCCACAGGGTTTTCAGGATATTTCTAAAAAACTAAAGTGAACTTGGTAATGTAGCCCTGGGAGCACCAAGCCCAACTCTGTACACTAGTGAGCAGGTTACTATTAACTACCACTACCACTGCAGACAAAGATGCTATGTAATTCTATGAAGTTTATTCTACTGCATACAAAACAAAGAGACTTCATTAATAAAATGGGATCTATAATACTGATTAAGACTTTAAATTCAAGCCTGTTAGACAAAAACTTCAATAACATATTAAATTTCCTTATATTTCACCTAGAGGAATTATCAAGATCAAATTCTAAGAAGGGAAAGGGACAAAGAAAACACACACGCGCGTGCAGTGCTGAAGGCATCACACCTTTTGCTCTCTGTGCTGGGCGAGTGTCGTATTGGCTTGACAAGGGGCCTGCAGGAAAGCTGCCTTCTCGCTGATTACAGTCATAGTAGTATTACTAGTGGAGTCTCCTGTCTGTGTCATGGTCAATCTGTCAGTCAGTTGAGTATGGGTCATATTAGTGCTTGGGGAACTAGTAATAGTGACTTGGTCTAGGAGATTGGGGGTTAAAGAAAGATATGTGCTCTCATCAGTCCAGTTTGCTAAACCATGTGGGAGGTCAGCCTGCATGACTTCAGTCTGGTACGTTCTCGCTGGGCAACCACCTTTATTGTCATAAGTTGGTGGAGGCCCATGAGATGAGCCAGAGGCATCACTGTCATCGTTTCTATCATCATCATCACCCTTCTCCAAAAGTTCACTCACCAGATCAACATTAGCTTTCTTGAGCTTGGCTAACATTTCAAAGTAGCTCTTCTCTGCATCGTTGTACATCCACTGGTTACACACGAAGAAATCATGAGAGGCATTCTTGCGAAGAACTTCTTCACGATCCATTTGACGAAGAATTTCATTCACTTCTTGCTCTGCTTCAGAAACCCGAGAACGGTTACGCTTATGATGCTTTTCCCTGATGAATTTACGCATCTGCTCGGGTTTTTTATGTACGTATTCCTCCTTTTTAATTTCTGTGTCTTCTTCCTCTGTTAAAGAATGTGATTCTGATGTGATGTCTTCTGATTCTCTTACAATTTTAACTTCTGGTAACTCTATTCTTGGTACATAAGGCACAATATCTTTCACACTATCATCAGGTTCTTCAGAACATGACGACCGTAATCGACGACGACGCTCTTGTTTAGACACAAATTCAGTAAAACCTTCCTCATCTGTTGACAAAGGCACCTGTGGTTTGGAAGCTTCTTCATCTGTGACTACAACCTTGACTGTTTTGGTATGATACAGGATGAAGGATTTGTCATCTGTGGGTGTCTCTTGCTCTTGTTTCTTGATTATTGTCCTTCCATGAGCCACAACATTAGCCCAAGAAGCAGCATCTTCAATTTCTGCAAGATGTTCCTGATCATCACTCTGAGCCTTCTGAACAGCAGTCACATCATAACTCATTACTGTTGAAGTTTCAGAAGGCATAGGTATCAAAGATTCCATATTTAATTCAGTTTGAGTATTTACTATAGCTTCTGGTGACATTACTACCTCATCTTTTAAATGTTCAAACTTATCTGACTTGAGTAAATATTCCTTACAATCTGCTTCAGGCTCCTGGCTAGCAGTGTGTTCATATCTCTCTGTATCACTAAGAAAGTTATTACTTATTAACAATGTTTGTTGGCATACTTCAGTTGGTGTCAATGTGCTATCATGAGAAGGCTCCTGTAGTAAAGAACTTTCAAATATTTTATTATTCTGATCTATAAATTCTGCTTCATTTTCACTAATTCCAATTTCTTCTCTTGAAGCCTTTTCTTCACTGGGTTTATGAACAAACTGTGCACGGCATTCATAATATCTGGCTTCAGCATCGTTAATTGCAGCAATGTCATATGAGAAGGATGAGGTTAGTTCATGAATGGGATAATTACTAGTAACATGAACAGACACTGGAGGAGAGGCACACAAGGTGTTGGGAGTTGTTACAAGGCTGGGAACAATGCACTCTTCTTTTGTCAGTCTTTCTAACACATCTAATTGGTATGAATTCTGATGCTCATAAACAGTTTCTTGAGTTTCTGTGTGACTTGCAAGTAATGGCTCCAAGACTTTCTCAGGAATCTTAGCTAACATTTCATGATACTTCCGCTCACTCTCTTCTGCTAACCACTTATCATTCCAGACAGATTCATGGACAGCATATTTTTGCAATACCTCCTCACGACCCATCTGACGGAGAATTTCATTCACTTCCTTTTCCGTTTCTGATATACGGTGATGCTGACTTTTTCGGTGACTATCTGAACGTCTCTTAGATCTCACTGTTATTTCAACTGTTTCAACCATACTTTCTTCATTAACTAATTCTGTTTCTGAATGGTCCTCTTTATTTCCTTTCAATTCTGCTGGTTCTGTTTCTTCTACAATTTCTACTTCAGGCAACTCTATTCTTGGTACATAAGGCACAATATCCTTTATAACATCTTCAGGCTCTTCAGAGCAAGATGAACGCAGTCGACGGCGCCGTTCCTGTTTTGACAAAAATTCAGTAAATCCTTCTTCATCTTTTGACTGAGGTACCAATGGTTTAGAAACTTCTTCATCTGTAACTACAACCTTGACTGTCTTGGTTTGGTACAGTATAAAGGATCTATCATCCTGCGGTGCCTTTTCCTCTTGTTCTATAACCAATGGCTTACCATGAGCAACAACATTAGCCCACGAAGATCTATCCTCAGCTCGTGCTAAGTATTCCTGATATTTCGTCTCAGCCATCTGGATTGAAGGTATGTCATAACTCATTACTGAGGATGTCTCAGGAGTTATTAAAGCTGAAGAAATGGGAACCCCTTGTCTTGAATCTTCTTTTGTGATGTGCAATTCTTGTGGCAGGCTGGTATTTTCACAGACTTGCTGCAACTGTATCGAATGTTCTTGATACTTTGCTTCATCTTGTTTAATGTCCTGCATGTTAGGTGTTTGTTCTTTACTCTTTAAAGCATCTATAGGTGGAGCTGGTATTTGTGAATCTACTTCAGGATGTCCTGCATTCATAGCTATCATTTCTAACTGAACCAAGGACTCTTGGTGCTTTGTTTCTGTCTGCAGAAAGTCTGACATGTCAGCAACACTCTTATCTTGTAGTACATCTGTAACAGTCTGTGAAATCATTATGTCATAACTGGTCTTCTCAGGTTCCAGCATATCTTCGGGTGTTATTGGAGGGTACTGTGGCTCTACTTCAGGTAGAACAATGTTGTCTCCAGTCTCTGCTGGCTTGTCTGCTTGCAATACATCTGTAGCTGATACTGGTAACTGTTGTGGCTCTACTTCAAGCAGACCAATGTTGTCTTCAGTATCTGCTGGCTTGTCTGCTTGCATTACATCTGTAGTTGTTACTGGTAACTGTTGTGGCTCTACTTCAGGCAGACCAATGTTGTCTCCAGTCTCTGCTGGCTTGTCTGCTTGCAATACATCTGTAGCTGTTACTGGGAACTGTTTGGGCTCTACTTCAAGCAGACCAATGTTGTCTTCAGTATCTGCTGGCTTGTCTGCTTGCAATACATCTGTAGTTGTTACTGGTAACTGTTGTGGCTCTACTTCAGGCAGACCAATGTTGTCTCCAGTCTCTGCTGGCTTGTCTGCTTGCAATACATCTGTAGCTGTTACTGGTAACTGTTGTGGCTCTACTTCAAGCAGACCAATGTTGTCTTCAGTCTCTGCTGGCTTGTCTGCTTGCAATACATCTGTAGTTGTTACTGGTAACTGTTGTGGCTCTACTTCAGGCAGACCAATGTTGTCTCCAGTCTCTGCTAGCTTGTCTGCTTGCAATACATCTGTAGCTGTTACTGGTAACTGTTGTGGCTCTACTTCAGGCAGACCAATGTTGTCTTCAGTCTCTGCTGGCTTGTCTGCTTGCAATATATCTGTAGTTGCTACTGGTAACTGTTGTGGCTCTATTTCAATTACATTTTTTGAGTGTACCAAGTACTCCTGGAACTGTGTCTCAGCTTCAAAAATTTCTGGAATGTTATAAGTGAACTTTTCAGGATGCACCATATAATTAGTTACTGCTGATGTCTGTTGTGGATGAAGTTCAGGCATAACATCACTGACTTCAGTCTCAGCAGACTTTTCTGACTGTGCCAAGAACTCTTGGTACTCTGTCTCTGCATGAAGGATTTCTGCAATATTGTAAGTGGTCTTTTCAGGCTGCAATAATTCTTTTGATGTTAACGATGACCGTTGTGGGTAAAGTTCAGGCATAAGGCCAATGTCTTCAGTCTCAAATGATTTTCCTGACTGTGCCAATGATTCTTGATACTGTGTTTCAGCCTGCAGTATTTCTGCAACATTATAAGTAGTCATTCCCTCAGTCTCAACTGGTTTTTCTGACTGTGCCAATGATTCTTGATACTGTGTCTCAGCCTGCAGTATTTCTGCAACATTATAAGTAGTCATTCCCTCAGTCTCAACTGATTTTTCTGACTGTGCCAATGATTCTTGATACTGTCTCTCAGCCTGCAGTATTTCTGCAACATTATAAGTAGTCATTCCCTCAGTCTCAACGGATTTTCCCGACTGTGCCAATGATTCTTGATACTGTGTCTCAGCCTGCAGAATTTCTGTAACATTATAGGTATTCATTACTGGCAGCAATGTCTTTTCACCTGGAGATGATGTCGGCTGTACTTGCATTTCAGCTGTACCAATACTATTTTCACTCTCCACTGACTTTTCTCCCTGTATCAAATGTTCATCATGCTGTGTTCCAGCTTCAAGATTTTCTACAATACTGTCAATAACTTTTTCCAGTTGCAGTACATCTCCAGTTGCTACTGATGTCTGTTTTGTATCTGTTTCAAACAAACCAATATTATCTTCAGGTTTTGCTAAGTTTTCTGATTGTACTTGGAGAATTTTTGAAGTATTATTAGTAACCATTTCAGAGTGCAGCATAGTTGTAGCTGACACTGGTGTATGTTGTGGCTCTGTTTCAAGAACACTAATGTTGTCTTCAGTTGTTATTGGAATCTGTTGCGGCTCTGCTTCAAGAACACTAATGTTCTCTTCAGCTGTTACTGGTATCTGTTGTGGCTCTGCTTCAGGAACACTAATTTTCTCTTCAGCTGTTACTGGTAACTGTTGCGGCTCGGTTTCAAGAACACTAATGTTGTCTTCAGTTGTTACTGGTAACTGTTGTGGCTCTGCTTCAAGAACACTAATGTTGTCTTCAGCTGTTACTGGTAACTGTTGTGGCTCTGCTTCAAGAACACTAATGTTGTCTTCAGCTGTTACTGGTAACTGTTGTGGCTCTGCTTCAAGAACACTAATGTTGTCTTCAGTTGTTACTGGTAACTGTTGTGGCTCTGCTTCAAGAACACTAACGTTGTCTTCAGTTGTTACTGGTAACTGTTGTGGCTCTGCTTCAAGAACACTAATGTTGTCTTTGGTTGTTACTGGTAACTGTTGTGGTTCTGCTTCAAGAACACTAATGTTGTCTTCAGTTGTTACTGGTAACTGTTGTGGCTCTGCTTCAAGAACACTAATGTTGTCTTTGGTTGTTACTGGTAACTGTTGTGGCTCTGCTTCAAGAACACTAATGTTGTCTTCAGTTGTTACTGGTATCTGCTGTAGCTCTGCTTCAAGAACACTACTGTTGTCTTTAGTTGCTACTGGTAATTGTTGCGGCTCTGCTTCAAGAACACTAATGTTGTCTTCAGGTGTTACTGGTAACTGTTGTGGCTCAGGTTCAAGAAGACCATTGCTGTTTTTGGTCTCGGCTGACTTTTCTGCTTTCACCAAGTACTCTTGGTACTGTGTTTCAGCTTGAATTATTTCTGAAACATTATAAGTGATCTTTTCATGTTGCAATACCTCTTTTGTTGTTGCTGATGTTTGCTGTGGATGCACTTCTGACATACCATTGTTGTCAGTTTCTGTTGGCTTTTCTGACTGCACTAAGACCTCCTGGTAATCTGTTGCAGTTGGAAGAATTTCTGAAAATTTATCAAAAGTCTCTTCAGGCTGCAGTACATCTTTAGTTGTTACTTGTGTCTGTTGTGACTCTGTTCCTGGAAGATCAACGTTGACTTCAGATTCAGTTAGCTTTCCTGGCTGCACCACGATCTCTGGATACTGTGACTCAGTTGGAAGAATTTCTGAAACATTATCAGAAGCCTTTTCAGGTTGCACTGCATCTTCAATTGTTACTAATGTTTCTTGTGGCTTTGTTTCAGGAAGTTCAATGTTGTTGTCAGTTTCTATTGGCTTTTTCAACTGTACCATGTACTCTTGGTACTGTGTCTCAGCCCGTAGAATCTCTGACATGTTATAATTGACCATTTCATGGTGCAGGACACCTTCAGATGTTGATGTGTGTTGTGGTAGTTCCTCAGAAAAACATATATTATCTCCACTCTTATCAAGTATATCTGTTTGCATCAAATGCTCTGTATGGCGTGTTTCTACCTCCTCGATCAATGACATAGACTTGTTCTTAGGTATACATGTATTGACCACTAAGGATGGTTGTGCTGTTACTGCTTCATCCACTCTACTCTCATCCATCACAATTTTATCTTCAAGTACATCACTCTCATCTATCACAATATTCTCTTTTACAGGACTCTTGAGTATTACAGTTTCATCTTTAGTGATTTGACTGGTATCTATTACAGTTTTGCTAGTTTCCACATCCTGATGTTTTGTGAGTGAAGAATCATTTACTTCAGCAATCAGTTTTCTATCTGAATCACTTTTATTGTCATCTGTGTGAGGAAATGCAATTTGCTGCTTTGCAAGATATTCATAATATCTGGTTTCAGATTCCACAATAGCTTTCATGTCATATTTTGTAGACTCAAGATCAGCAGGTAGCAAATGAACCGGGAAAGCCTCTTCAAGATGAGGGATTGAATCTAATAATGGCTTTGGATTAATTTCTTCCTCTGTATATGAAGTCTGTCTTAATGTTGGAGTTATTTCTAAAGTTTCACATACTGATTCTATTGGAAGAGAGGTCACTTCGGTTACCTCTGACTCAGGGACTTTTGTTGCTGATATTGCATCTACAGCTAAAGGTATCACCTCTAAATTCTTTGGAACTTTAATGGTTTGAGCTTTTGTCCCTTGTAATAACTGACTTTCTTCAGTGACTTGAGATGCCAATTGTTCTGTGCTTAGCTGGTCTTTATTTTCCTCAGAGTCAACAATGGAAGAAAGATTACTTGGATTAATTTCCTTGTTAGATTTATTAAAAAGATACTTGTGGTAATGTGTTTCTGCATCACGGATACCAAACACATCATACCACAATTCAGAACCAAGGTAAAAGGCAGCAAAGAGTTTATGCTCATACTCTATTACATCTTTTGGTTTTGGAGGTGTTTCTCCCCTTTCAATTGCTGCCACTATCTGATCTATTTCTTGTTCTGAATCTGTTATTTTAGATGACCTCTTTGATCTTGATCTTTGTTTTGATTTACTTCTTTTAGGCCTTAGCACTTCAAGAAAGCTGCTTTCACCTTCACTTTCTATCTCCTCTATATCTGCACTCATCACCTGCATTATATCTTCTTTTGTAATTTTCATGGTCTCTTTTTTGCTGCCTTCTTCCACAACAGCTTTTAAAGCTTGCTCAATTTCATCTGTAACAGCAGATGTGCTGTGAGTTGTTCTCCTGTACCTTTCCCTCTTGGACACAAATTCTGTGAACCCTTCTTCATCTACCTCAGCAGCTGACTTTGTACTCTCTTTAGTAGTTTCTTCCTTTTGCACAACAGTAGGGTTATGGAAAACATATGGTTTTTTAGGTGTTTCAGGTGGTTTTTCTACAACAACAGCAGGGGTATGAATGAGAATACTTGCGTATGTTTTTGATTGATAGGGCTCTAGAGATTCTGAATATTCTGATGCTCCTGCAAAACTAACTCCAGAATCATCATCTGATTGAGGCTCATGACAGGTGCCAACCACAGGATCTGTATCAGAAGGCACACTGATCTTACCTTCTTCTGGTGTGCCTTCCAGTGAGTCTAGTGACTTATCTTCAGTAGTCGTTGTAATAAAGGAACAGTTCTCTACAGTTACAGTTGCCTGATCTGAGGGAGTATCTTCAGTTGAAGCAGCTTCAACAAGATGCTCATCTTCATCTTCAAGAGTAAATCCACCTTCTTTAATAATATCCATCCAGTCATTCACATGTTTAGGCAAAGGTAAAGCAAACTCTAAAATAGGCGAGTCTCCATTAGGAGCAACTAATTCAGATGTCATAGCTTCATGAAGAGCTTCTTCAATATTTGGCACAACTTTTTGTAATCCTAGTGGCTCAGCCCTGTTAGTTGGTTCCTCCTGTTTTTCAACCTTCTCCTCTTCCAGCACAAAGGATTCCATGCAAAATTCATTTTGGTCAATTTCATTTTCAAATTTAATGTAGCTATCTGTTTCTGATGAAGTCATTTCTTGGGGTTCTGTATTATCCACTGCCATTTCTTCATTCGGGTGATGAACAACTTCATACTCTTTCAAAGGTTCCTGCTGAATTTCCTCTTTTAAGGACGTTTCTTCCTCTTGTAACTTGGAGTAAATGCTAGCTACCACTTCAGTGGTTTCAACTTGAGGTTCTTTTCCATCAGTACTTATATTCAAAATTTCCTCTTCTATTTGTTTATGAATTTCACTTTCTTTCACAAAAGAGTCTTCTTGGATATTAATTTCTGAATCTAAAAGTTCCTTCTCTTTTTCTATATCAGTCTCATCTTTACTCTGTGTGAAGTTGGGCAAATCTTCTTGAAGCTCCTGATTATCTGTCTTTGGTAAATATGATGCTTCCTTAGATTCTAACTCTTCTAGTTCTTTTGGTGCATCTACATTATCAATATGTCTATCCTTAGTTTCACCATCTTTATCATCATCACTTTTTTTACCCTTGCCTTTCTTTGGCCTCTTCTTCTTATTCTTGTAATATTCTTCCCCAGGAACCAATGGAAGCATACTTACAGATGTTTTCAAGGAATCATTTTCCATAGACTGTAAGAGTCTACTCTGTGCCATGCTAGGAATAGTGCTACTTAAGGATCGTTCATAACCTGAATCAGTGACAGCAAAGGAAGTACCCTCAAGAGGTGCACTTTTGGTCTTAAATAGTTGTTTTCGCTCTTCAAGCGGAGTTTTAATTTTTTCCTCTGTACTTGAAGTGCGAGTTATTGGTCTCTGTCGCATCCACTGAGGAGTCAGAATAATATCGTTGGGATCATCGATGGGAATATGAGGACTGGTTGGCCGAGGGCTCACTGGATTAACCGAAAGCAAGGAGGTCATAAAGCCGTCAGAATCTCCTACCAATGATGGTTTGGAAACTTCTACTTCATCTGGCAAAATGGCTTTGGTCAATGGCATTTTAGTCTCAACAGGCTCATTTATGTGAAGCTGCACCACAGCAATATCTGATTCTGTAGTCTGTTCTGTAATTTCATGACAAGAATCACTCTTCTCCTTTACTGAGGTCTCAGGCTCCACTTGTTCCATTGATGTTTCCATTATCACATTTGCAAAATCTGTCTCAACAATGCTGGTCACCTCAACATTTCCTCTTTTTTCCTTGTTTGAGGTCTTTTCTTTTTCAATTATTGAAATTTCAATCTCATCATCATCATCTTTTGCCTTGGCTTTTTTCTTCTTCTTCTTTTTCTCAAGTTTATCAGGTTTCTCAGACTGCTTTATTTGAATACCTTGTTCATTATTGGATTTTACTTCTTTTGTATTCTTACTAGTAATTTCCTCAGAAGGCATTTCAATATTTTCCTTCTTGGTATATTCACTTACACTCTCCGAAATATTTTTTTTAGATACTTTTCCAGACTCAGGTTGTGGTTGACTTATAGATACTTCATTTTCGATCTTGGCAAAATCTTCAACTCCTACATGCTCAGTGAAGTTCATCTCTTGTTCTGATTCACTGCCCATCTTCTTGCGACGTCGCTTCTTCTTAGAGAGAATTTCTTCAAAGCCATCAGAGTCTTTCTTTCGTTCTGCATGGGGAGACTCTTTTATATGTTCTTCTTCTAAACATGTAACTGGAACCCGATGATGATAAGGCTTCTTGGGTTCTTCTTCGGGTTCCTTTGTGACAACAGATTTGCCATGTGCCAAAGCAGTTGCATAAGAAAATGTTTCACCATCCTGTGGCTTTGGCTTCTGTGATTCTGTTTCTAAATTAGCCAGGTCAACATTTCCAGGTTCACTTCTCTCTTGTACTCCTACTTGACTGATATTCTCTTTAGAAATGTCAGTTGGATTTATATTTACAAAATTTTCAGGCGTCATGAGTGCTGAGTATGATTTGGTATTAACATCCATTTCCAAGGTTACCTCAGTCTTCAATGCAGCTGCTGGATTTTCCACAGTTACTTCTGAGGGCTTTTCCTCATCAGATTCTGAATCAAGAGTAAAACCTCCACTTTCAATTATTTCCATGAAATCATTAGCATGATCAGGAATTGGGAGCCCAAAGACAGGCTGTATCACTTGAGAAACAGGAACTGAATCTACATTTTCACTTATAATGGTGGTTGTGGTAGGGTAAATGTCTGTGCCATGTTCAGATGGTTGATCAGATTTCTCAATAATGGGTTCCTCATCTTCATCATCAAGTGTGAACCCACCTTCCTCTATTATCTGTAGCCAGTCATCTGCATGATCAGGAAGAGGAAGGCCAAATGGTTTGGATGATTCCAGTTTCTTGCAAGTATCTAGCTCTTGCTTAATTTGCTGCTCTATTTCCTTTTCAGCATTAGCTGAGGTAACTTCCACTTTATGATCACTTGCTGGTTGACTTTCATTATTCACTTCTCCTGGACTGACAGCCATATTAGTTGTAACTTTTGGGGAAATCTGAGGTGTGATTCCTTCATGTTCCTCTATATGATTCAGTGTAAAGCTACCTTCCTTGTTAATTTCCATCCAGTCATTAGCATGATCAGGAGACTCAATCTTTTGGGAAAGTTCCTTAGTTTCTGTAGCTAGCCTGGAAATGCAAACACCTGAAGTTGTCTCACACAGGGTTGGTGCCTGAGCAGATTCATCTTCATCCTCAAGTGTAAAGCCTCCTTCCTCAAGGATTTCTAACCAATCATTGGCATGATCAGGCAATATTAACCCAAATGCAGGTTTAGTATCAACTTTTTCAAGAGAATGGGTATCAACCTCTTCAGTATCATCAGAGGAACAATGAACAGTATTTTCAACGCTAGTAATGCTAGTGTCAGATGTCACAGACACAATTTCTTGCGTTTCTTTCTCTTTTAATGTTTCTTCTGGGATACCTTTTGGAATAATTCCAGATGACTCACTTTGTAAAGAAGTAGAACATACTGACACATCTTCATCTTCAAGTGTAAAGCCCCCTCCCTCTATTAATTCCATCCAGTCATTAGCATGGTCTGGCAAAGGCAAAGCAAAGGTGGGTTTTGCTGATAATACATCCTCATGTGCAGTGTCACTTATATGTATCTTCTCCATATGTGCAGAGGGGATTTTTTCCACGGCTTCATCTTGTCCATGAGTAAATAAATCTATTGCAACATGTTTTCCTTCAGTTGTCACATTCCTATTAACTATGTTCACTACGTCTTCACTCGAAGATAAGGCATTATCCTCGACAGATAAACATTTAGGTTCAAGCACCACCATTTCATTTGACACATCATTCCGATTACTCTTTGTACTGGCTGCCATCCAAATATCTTCAGGGTCTTCCACTACTTCCTCTGTCTCTATTGGTTTACCATCAATCATAATAATCTTCTTTATTATTCTTTTTCTGGTGATTTTGTGAGAAGTGGTCACCTCAGGCTCTGTGATTGCCTCACAAATTACAGAGTCAGCTGGCAGACCTTGTAACAATTCCTCAGTAATCTCTTCTGGTTCTTCTACAATTTCCTCCGTTTCTACTGGTTTACCATCAATTATAATAATTTTCTTAATTATTTTCCTCCTAATGATTTTATGAATTGTGGTCACTTCAGGCTTTGTGACTGTCTCAGTAATCACAAACTCAGAAGGATGACCTTGAGTCACTTCCTCAGTAATTTCTTCTGGCTCTTCTATGATTTCCTCTGTTTCTACTGGTTTACCATCAATTATAATAATATTCTTAATTATTTTCCTCCTAATGATTTTATGAATTGTGGTCACTTCAGGCTTTGTGACTGTCTCAGTAATCACAAACTCAGAAGGATGACCTTGAATCACTTCCTCAGTAATTTCTTCTGGCTCTTCTATGATTTCCTCTGTTTCTACTGGTTTACCATCAATTATAATAATCTTCTTAATTATTTTCCTCCTAATGATTTTATGAATTGTGGTCACTTCAGGCTTTGTGACTGTCTCAGTAATCACAGACTCAGAAGGATCACCTTGAGTCACTTCCTCAGTAATTTCTTCTGGCTCTTCTATGATTTCCTCTGTTTCTACTGGTTTACCATCAATCATAATGATCTTCTTAATTATTTTCCTCCTAATGATTTTATGAATAGTGGTCACCTCAGGTTCTGTGACTGTCTCAGTAATCACAGACTCAGATGGATGGCCTTCAATCACTTCCTCAGTGACCTCTTCTGGTTCTTCTATTATTTCTTCAGTTTCTACTGGTTTACCATCAACCATGACAATTATTTTGATAATTCTTTTGTGAATTACTCTACGTTTTCTAGCGAAGGTCGTTGATGAATTAACAATTTCTTCCTGTACAGGCTCTGGAACAACACCAGAGCTCTCTAAAAGGTTTGAGACCATACCTTGTTCATGCTTGCTTTGATTAAGAACATCTAGGTCTACAAGAGACTCACCTGTCATTGAGTCTAGAATGTTTTTTCCTCTCAATTCTTCATCTGCAAGATTTACAGGCTTTTTTGTTTCTTCACTTATTTCTGGGTCACCATCAACCATCAAAACTTTTATTTTCCGTTTTCTAATGACTGCACGGGTTGTTAATGATTCTGGGTCTGTGAGTGACTCAGTAATCACAGAATCTCTTGGCAAGCTTTCCAACATTTCCTCAGAAACAACTTCTGGTTCTTCTATCACTTCTTCTGTTTTGCATGGTTTACCATCAACCATTACTACTTTCTTTATCACTCTTCTCCTAATGATTCTACGACTTGCTGCTTCTGGTACTGCAACTGTTTCAGTAATCACAGACTCACCTGGCAAACCTTGGAGCATTTCATCAGTAACGTCTTCTGGTTCTTCTACTACTTCTTCAGTTTCTACTGGTTTACCATCAACTATAATTGTCCTTTTAACAATTCTCCTTCTAACAATTTTGTGAATAGTAGGCACCTCAGGTTCTGTGATTGTCTTTGTAATCACCAAGTCAGTTGGCAGACCTTGGAGCATTTCATCAGTAACTTCTTCTGGTTCTTCTACTATTTCCTCAGTCTCTACTGGTTTACCATCAATCATGATTATCTTCTTAATTATTTGCCTTCTAATGATTTTATGAACAGTGGTCGCCTCAGGTTCTGTGATTGTCTCAGTAATCACAGAATCTGAAGACAGACCTTGAAGCATTTCTTCAGTGATATCTTGTAGTACCTCTACCACTTCATCACTTATCTTCTTATTTATCATTTCACCACTTTTCTCTTCATAAATCTTGGATTTACTCTCATGAGTTCTATCTGGAGCCTGTATATCTTCTATATCATAATTATGTTTAGGAAACCCTTTCTCTTTTGTTAAAGTAGTTTTATCAATTTCTATTTTGACTAAATGTTTTTTCTCCAATCCAGCTCTGTCTATGTCATCAAGAGTACAGCTTCCTTCCTCCTGAACTGGTACTGAAAGTTCAGAGGGCGGTACTTTATGTGGAAGAATTTCTTGAGAGAAATCTTGTTTATGGTACTGTGAAATCTCAGTAGAAATTGATGGAACTTCCTCACACACATCTTGCATGTTCTCATTATTGAGAGAAATTCCACTTTCTATAAATTCCATACTCTTGCTAATTTGGTCTGGGAATGGTGAAGGTGTAAGTGGCATCTCTGAAGGAACAATCCCCTTATAGTCCACAGAACACTGTGCTGAAGCATTCTTGTCCTCTTCCGATGCAATATCTTCATCCTTCATTAAGCTAGCACTATCTTGATTGGTTTCAGAAGAGAAAACAGAGGACTCTACTGGAGATACGATATTAGTATCTACAGTAGTTACAGGGGCTTGTGTGGGTAAGTCAGGTAGAGGATCAAGTATAGGGTCAGTAGGTACATCATTAAAGGGTTTGTTAGAAGACACTGCCACTTGCTCAGGTACTGATACAACTACAGGTTCTACAGTATGGTGATATTCAACTGCACAGGCAGATACATTTTGCTCCTCCATATGGACCTGCATTTCTTCCACCACAGTCTCACCAGGATGCACTTGTTTTTTCATTTCATTTTCATCCTTGTTGAAGCTTACACCCTTTGATTTTTTGCAGTCTATTTTATGTTTTTCAGGTTCAGAAGTCTTTCCTGTTGAGGAGATTTCCTTATCTTGCTCAGCAACTTTAGATTTCTGAAGTTTCTTTTCTGCCTTCTCAGGTTTTGTTACCGGCTCAACTTTTAGCTGATTTGTAGTATCACATGAAGAATGTTCAGTTGTTTTTGGTAATGGTGGTTGCTCTGTCTTTCTGGTCTTCTTGGAGCCCCGCCTTTTTGGTTTGTCATCATCTATGGGTGCCAATTTGGGAGTTGGGGGTGGTTGAATTTTACCACTTTTTTCCATCTCTTCAATTTCTCTCAAAGCTTTTTCCAAATCATCTTCTTGATCTTTAGGATTTGATCTATTGCGTTTTTTCTTTTTCTTGCGCTTATCTTCACTATCATGAGATTTTAGATCGTATGACTGAGTGCTTTCTATAACAGAAGTACTTGTCACACTATCACTTTTCTTTGTGATAACTTCCTGGTCTTTCTTTAGCTCCTTTTCATCAGCTGTTTGTGAAAGATTTACATTTAAGGGCTCTGGTACTATCATCTCTTTTTTCTGAGTGCTGCGACTGGTTTGAATTTTGACTTCTTGAACTGATGCCGAAGTTACTGCAGAATTGTCAAGCTTAGATTGCTTTGCCCTGGTAGGTTTCTCTTCCTTCTTGATCACTTCCTTCACAGGTTCTATATTTGTTTCTTCCTTATCTTTGAGAGCCTCAATGACATCTGCAGGGGCTTCTCCTTTCTTTCTTCTAGCGCTCTTGGACCTTGAGCGTCTGTCAGACCCTTCTTTAAAAAGAAGACCAGGAATATAGTGTTCTATTCGTTGCTGTTCTTCCATTTTCTTCAATTCGTCCGAATCTTTGACCATTGTTACTTCGATTTTTGGTTCATAGGATCTCTTCTTACCTCTAGATCTGTCGTAATCATGTGTTGTCACTTGTGCTGCCATTGCTTGTTGTTCAATTTTTGGTTTGATGGGTGCTTCAACATGCTCAACATTATGTTCAATATGTGCCACTTTTTCAGACTGAGTTGGTCCCTTAACATATGACATAACTGACTTAAATGCTCCATAAGTATGAGTGACAACAGCTGAAGGGGCAGCTTTAAGGCCCATTGCTAAAATTTGAGCATATGATAGCTTAGACTTATCTGTGGACTCGAGTGCCACAGGAGCTTCAGCTGCTTCACTGGAGCTTGCTTGCCTTGGCTCAATAGTTATATGGGCCTCACTGGTTTCTTCAGTAAAGGATGGTTCGAATATCATGGAGGGAACTTCTGCTACATCATCTGTTTCCATCTCTTCCTCATCCTCTTGATACTGCTCTGGAGTCTCTGGAGGGGTCATCATAGGCGGAGTTACAGTGGGCTGAGTTGTGATCATACTTATCATAGGCGTTTCTTCAGGTGACTGCTCTAAGGTGACACTTGGAAACTCATTACTGGCTTCATTTGTCTGTTGGTAGTCATTTACTTGTCCATAAGACTGCATGCCAAAACCCTCAGGAATATAACTTGTTGTAACTGGAAACTGACTCATTCCCTGGTAGAAATTCATGGTATCCATGTTACTGTTCATAACAATGTCCTGCATAGAGTTTTCTAATGTTTGCATAGGACTCTGAACAGTTTGCACATCCACAGAGAACCCATGCTGAAACATGGATGCTGTGACTGCCTGTTGGTAAGGAGGCTCAGAGGCCTGAGATATTTCAACACCTTCAGATAAGAAAGCAGGTTCTTCTATGTAGCCAGGGTATTGTGGCATAACAACAACAGGCTCCTCTTCTACCTGCTGAGTTACAGGTTGTGACTCTACTTCTTCAGTAACAGATATATTATCTTCAGGCATAACACGTTCCTGCTGAGGGACGTCAACATACTCTAAACTCTCACATTCACTAGTTGATGTGATCACATTAGATGTTATGGTTTGTACAGCTGATTCAGCAATCTGACTAGAAACTTCTATAATAGTGACCTCTTGTACTTCAGATTGAGTCTGTAACTCTGACATCATAGCTGCCTCATCTGCATCATGCTCCCTCTCTTGTCTTGCTTTCATCTCATGCCTTCCTTTTAGGATTTGAGCATATGTAGTCTTGCCATCCCACATGGTGGTAGGAATAGCTCTTTGGGATTTTACATCTTCAACAGCAGCCCGAGGCTGTTCTGGTATTTCTGATTTCAATATATTCTCATGTTCTCGACGCTGTGCTTGTGGACTTGACTTCGGAGTCTCTGTTGGACTTGTTTTAGGGGTCACCATTGGTGTATCTTTCGGACTTTCTTGAGGACTCTGTTTAGACTTGGTATAAGAACTCCTAGGACTACTTCTCTGACTGTTTCTGCGACTTGGTGCATCATAATACACCTCTTCCTGTGGCTCCACTGGGTTCTGCTGCTCTGGCTGTTGCTCCATCGGTTGCTTTTTACGGTAGCGACGATCTCGTTGTTGCACACGTCGTGATGTCTTGGCATCTTGCTCGAAGCTCTGTGACTTCTGGGCTTTTGCAAACTGCTGCTGACGGTTTCTACGATCACGAACTTGCCGTTCCTCGCAAGCAGCTCCCTGTGCCTGAGCAGTTACAATGGTACATTTTTCTTTGGCAGGGGATTCACTTGGCGTTTCAATGGTAATACTGTCTTCTCTTACTGGTTCGGAAACCAGAGTTGGCGTTGCAGGTAATGATGATGACACTTGACTTGTTACAACCTGAGTAACAACCTGCTGAGTTGATGCAACCTGAGGAACATTTATTTCTGTTGCATATGTTTGGCAAACGATATTTGGACTCTTCCTTCCTGCAGCTACATCTGCCCACGTCAGTTGCAATCCAGTCTCTGGGGTAGCTAGTACGGTGCGAGATTGTTGCGGGACGTTTTTCAACGCCACTCCAATCAAAGTCTTCACCTCAGAATCCAAGACATCGCTTTCACTTATTGGCAGTTCTTGAGTGATCACCACCTGGACATCTTGACTGATGGAGTCGTTGAGGACAGTTCTGAGTTGCATGGGTGAGACCTGGGCCTCTTCCTCGGAGAATGTATCATGTGAAGAGGTAAGAATGCTCGTTTCGGTCGTGTCTAGTGTTAGCTCGGTCGGAATCACCGCACTGGGGTCAATCTGGTAGATTCGTTCGGTGAGCTCGACAATGAGTCGTTGGTGAGATTCATACTGGCCTTGGAGCACCTGTGGTATGCAGTCCCGGCAAAGAAGAGTGGCATTGTGAGTGGATTGGAGACACACAAGCATTGCATAAAACAATGTTTACAAATGTGTTAAAAAGGATTGGATGAAAGGGGGCAAACTGTATGCTAGATATGACAGAGCCAGATTGGCAAATGGAATGTATATTAAGGCTGCGTTTCATTTCCCCGTTCCCTAACTGGAAGAGGGAAGCACCACAGAAAAGGACAATAGAGGTTAGGATGGTGGATGGTATGGGAGAGAGAGGCAGGCGTCCTACTAGGTGTCAAGTGGCGCAGTGTCAGGAGTGCCCCGTTGGTTAAGAAGTTTGACACGCTCATTCCGCGCACTTATCTTGCACTGAATGGCTTTGATCCTCTCTCGGCAGGCCTGTGAGTGGATATCGAGTGCCAATGTTTCAGAAACCTACACCCAGAGAGCTTTTTTACCATAAATTACCTGTTATGTGAGGGGGCAATTATGTGCCTGGTTAATTTTATCCTTCACCTTATTAATTAGTGTTTTGAATGCTGGCTAAACTGATTCAACCATATGTGATAATATTCATAATTAATAATTCAGCATATATAAAAAGTACAGAATAATTTTTATTAAAAGAGTGGGTTAAAAAATCAAAACTACAGCTAAAAAAGCAGGTTAATCAACAACTAGTACAGAAATATTACTTGAAGAGAACATGAACGATATAGCGGAACCACGAACGATTTACAACGTGACAGGTCCCCGAGGCCAGCCACCCACTGGAAGGAAGTATGCCATCCATCCTACATCTGTTGTGCATGCTTCTTGTGTCATACATTAGCTGCTTGTCACTTGTATTGAGATTGTGATTTCACAATGATTGTTAATGTTACATGAAGAGAGATGCAATGCATGGAACAGCAAGTGTTTGATGCAATGTGCTGCTTGGTATATGTATTTCACTGTAATGTTTGAATGTATCAGATGATGTCTTACTGCATGACATGTTACTGACTCAAATGATGGCTGTAATATGTTGCATGTTTAATGTACTTCACAACATAATGTCCTCATTATGTACTGAAAGAGGGCTAAAGTGCGACATGGCATACAGGGCTTGAAAATATCAAATAATGAATGCTCATTGTATAGTGTATTCAATAATGTAGTGTATCATGCTTTCTATGATGCATATGTGATACATGACACTAACCACGTATGATGAATGACATGAACTATCTAAAATTATAGTGTATAGTAGTGTGATGTTTGTGAAGCTACGTGTCTTGCTGTATGCAATCTATTGTGTGACACAAGATCCCTGGTGTAGGAAGCAAAATATGGGACACTACTTAATGTGTGTGTGTGTTAGTTACCATTTTGTCCTAGGCACATGTGTGTGTGTGTGTGTGTGTGTGTGGTGTGTGTGTGTGTGTGTGTGGTGTGTGTGTGGTGTGTGTGTGTGTCGTGTTGTGTGTGTCTGTGTGTGTGTGTTGTCGTGTGTGTTGGTGTGTGTGTTGTGTGTGTGTGTCTTGTGCTGTGTGTGTGTTGTGTGTGTGTCGTGTGTGTGTGTCTTGTGTGTTGTGTGTGTTGTCTGTGTGTGTGTGTCTGTGTGTGTGTCTGTGTGTGTGTGTCTGTGTGTGTGTGTGTGTGTGTGTGTGTGTGTGTGTGTGTCTGTGTGTGTGTCTGTGTGTGTGTGTCTGTGTGTGTGTGTCTGTGTGTGTGTCTGTGTGTGTGTCTGGTTGTGTGTGTGTCTGTGTGTGTGTGTCTGTGTGTGTTTGTCTGTGTGTGTGTCTGTGTGTGTGTGTTGTCTGTGTGTGTGTGTGGTGTGTGTGTCGTGTGTGTGTGTGGGTGTCTGTGTGTGTGTGTTGTGTGTGTCTGTGTTGTGTTGTGTGTGTGTGTCTGTGTGTGTGTGTCTGTGTGTGTGTTGTGTGTGTGTTGTGTGTGTGTGTTGTGTGTGTGTGTGTGTGTGTGTGTGTGTGTGTGTGTGTGTGTTGTGTGTGTGTGTCTGTGTGTGTGTGTGTGTCGTGTGTGTGTGTGTGTGTGTGTGTTGTGTGTGTGTGTCTGTGGTGTGTCTGTGTGTGTGTCTGTGTTGTGTGTCTGTGTTGTGTGTCTGTGTGTGTCTGTGTTTGTGTGTCTGTGTTTGTGTGTCGTGTTTGTGTGTCTGTGTGTGTGTGTCTGTGTGTGTGTGTTGTGTTTGTGTGGGGTGTCTGTGGTGCTTGTTCTGTGTTTGTGTGTACTGTCGTGTGTCTGTGTTTGTGTTCTGTGTTTGTGTGTCTGTGTGGTGTGTGTCGTGTGTGCTGTGTTGGGGGGGGGGCATTCAGGAAAGAGACTTTCATTATTATATATGACCGTCAGGTAAGAGTTGTATAAACATGTGTATAACATGATGGACACAACGAAACACAGTGTCAATCTAAACATGGTGTGTGACCAGTAGGAACTGGTGTATGACAACTGTGTTACAATTACTTAACATGGTGAATGAAATACGTGCATGATGTAGGGTGCCACTGAAACATGGTTTGGGAAATATCTTAATATGGTTGGGTTGAGAATGACCATCCCAGTATGGGCACTGTAGGCTACTGAAGTGTTCCTCCTTTCTTATGTCTATTTTGAGTGTGTAACACATGCAATCATGACGTGTATGATACATGGTGTTTGAACTCTAATTATGGTATAGATACACGACATTATGACACTTGGTCATAATAGTGTACGAGCATATCGTCGGTAGTGCATGACATGTCACATGGTGTATGATGCTGTCATATGGTGTATGATGATGTCATATGGTAATGATACATGACACAGTGTATGCTACAGACATGAACGTGATGTAAGGATGGGTTGCAGCGTGTCAGAGGGAGCAGCAGGCCAGACCGGGCGACCGATTACACACAACGGAGAGAGAGAAGAGAGAGAGAGAGAGGAGAGAGGAGAGAGAGAGAGAGAGAGAGAGAGAGAGAAGAGAGAGAGAGAGAGAGAGAGAGAGAGAGAGAGAGAGAGAGAGAGAGATGAGAGAATGAGAGAGAGAATGAGAGTGAGAGAGAGAATGAGAGTGAGAGAGAGAGAATGAGACAGACAGAAAATGAAAAAGAATTAAAGAAAGTGAATGAGAGAATGAAAAAATTAAAGAGAGAATGAGAGAGAAGAGGGGAGGATGGAGGGAGGGAGGGGGTAGGGTTGTCAGATACAAAGGTGGTGGAACATAGTCATTATTGAGCACCGTAGTTTACTGCATGATTCCCTGTCACTTACGACAGGGGATTCCTTCAGTACCCAGGAAACCAGAAATGGAAAGCAGCCACCTTGTAACTAGATATTACTCTTGAATACTATTCCCTTAATTGCTACTAAAAAAATATTATTTTAATACTTATATACACCAAATGATTATTTTTTCCTTATAACTACATTTCTATGGACTAAAACATGGTTAAGTTACTTTATATTAACATTACTTGAACATCACGTCAGCTGCTCTTCACTGAGTGAGTGACAGTGCAGAACAGTGCAAAGATACTACAAGTTGCAAAATGCAAATAGATCGATTGGTGGAACTACCAGGACAGCATGGCTACACAGTTGTTACTTTGAAGAGTAGATTAAAAAAAATATATATTTATTGCAAATAAACATATACACGTTTAGAATAAGTTGTGAGTAGGTTACGACCACACATGAGCTCCTAGAAGATAGATCTGGCAGTTCTGTTAGTTAACCACCAATGGTCAGGAGGCAACAAGAGGTGGCACTTACGTTCTGTTCGGCCACTGCCTTGTCGCGATCACGTGGGCTGTAGGTAGGACTAGACACCAGCCGCAGCTGCTGCTCTACCCCGACCATCTGTTGCCGCAGCCGCTGGATCTCCTGCAACACGTCAAACAAGACGCTTCATTTAGAATCTGTTCACAGACCTTGTGGTGGGCTACGACTTATCCTCTTGACTAATTGAATTCATAAAGTGTTGGTAGAGTAAAGCGTAGCCAGTGTTATTGTCACGCACACGGCTTACCTGTTGATATGCGTCCATTTGGTGAACGCAAGTCTCCAGCGTCCTACAGTCTTCCTTGACGGCCGCCTGCAGCTCCTCCAAGCGCAACTGTAATTGTTCGTTTTCGTGGGAGACCTGTGCTTCGGCACACATACGGTCACGGAAGTGTACCTGCAGCTTCTCCATGGCCATAACTAGTTTGGTCCTCTGGATGGTGACGTCGGCCAGCGCCTTCTCCCGAGCTGCCAACTGGTCACGCAGGGAGCGCTTCTTGTTCTGTGGGTTATCTAGCGACTGTCGCGTCTTCTCAATCCATCCAGCCACATCTTTAGACTTGCGCTCACACTGCTCCCATTCCTCGGCCATTTCTTGAAGTAATGCCATCACTTCCTTTAAGCTGCTCTCTACATCAGCCTTTTCCTGCTCCATCTCCGCTTGCTTATCTGTCAGTGGGCCAACGTCGGAACACTGACCAATTTTGGCTAATTCCGCAGTCATTTCGGAGACCTGCTTGTTGGCCCACTTACAATCTTTCACGGCAGCCTGCAACAGCACACATATATATATATTCATGTTTAAGTGATCATAAATTTTTAAGAAATTTATACAAGTGGTAAAAAAATACTGATATGAAATGTATTAAATAGGCATACTTAATACAACAAAATAGGAAGTACATAATGCTTACCGCATATTCCTGCAGCTTGGCGCGGGCTTCAGGTAAGGTGGCAAACTTAAGAGGATCTGACAAGAAGTTCCGCTGCCTCTCTACCCAGCTGCGTAAGGAGTTGTATAGCTGGATGAACAACTGCCAGGACTCGAGCGAATCGCCCACCTGAGCTTTCTTATCCTCCAGCCAGTTTCTGACCTGTTGAAGCTGTTCGGTAAGTGAGGTAACAGTGTTGGCCACCAGCTCCCTCTCGTTCTGATTGCTGGTGCGCTGGCATATTATATGGCCATGACGCGTCACGCGCTCCAGCTGGTCTGTCACGCTTCCGATCTCACAGTGAATCTCCTGCAGAAACTCCTTGAGCTTGTGAGGGTCTACGCTCTTGTCCTGCACCTTCGACTCTGCTGACTGAATCCACGCTTGCACCGACTCAACATCGCGGTTGTACTCGAAGCGGATGGTTCGCGCCCGCTTCGCTTCCTGGTGTTCATCCTCCATTTTTGCTACCGCGCTCTCCGCTTCCAGTTCTAAGTTTGACAGCTGACAAGGGGTAGCGGAAGAAAAACAATCGTCACATTCGAGTTACAAAATACAAACAATACAAATAATAACGGAAAAATCTCCAGAGAGAAAACGCTGCCCAAATAAAGATCGGTTCTGTATATTAGTGTCTTTGTTCACATACTCGTCAGCGTTACATTCAAATTTGGTGAATATGACCCCCTAAATAAAGATCGGTTCTGTATATTAGTGTCTTTGTTCACATACTCGTCAGCGTTACATTCAAATTTGGTGAATATGACCCCCTCCCCTCCCCGTTCAATGTAACAAAGTTATACAAATATTCTGTATGGAAATTTTGCATGGAAAGCAACCTACATTTGGTTAAAAAAAAAATCACAATTAAGTACAGATTAACTTACGTAACATTTTCAAGAATTTTCGTAACAACTGTTTTACCAATATATTAATGATAAACAATACCAACATGTAGATGAGTAAGACATGTCCAACAGTTTGGTATCTTAATGGGTGAGACGTTTCTCCTGTTCAACAAGCTTCTTCAGTCGAAATGCAGAGACAACAGAAGCCGTGGAGATACAGACATGGGGTGATTAGTACCAAAGTTTTTCAGTTGGTCAGTTCCTCAGTCCCTCCAGGCTGAGGGAATAATAAACTCCGATCTATATCTCTACGGATCCTGTTGTATCCCATATGAAGAAGCCTGCTGAGCAGGTGAAGTGTCTCGTCAATACAGATACTGCTGCACACGTGACTTGCTCATCTAACTGTTTTACGCTAAGGAAAGAGGTGGATGTTCAGACAAGCCCCCCCCCAAAAAAAAAAAAAAATACACACACACACACATTACCTAAGTGCAATGTATTACCCACAAATAAAAATTACATTATTTACCTGACTTGCAATTTCTTGTGGTAAAGATCGACCTTCAGATATGTAGTGACTCTTTGTTTTGTTGATGAGGTGTCTGGCTTCGCTGGCTGCCTGACTGACGCGCAGTCCAATACTCTGTACGAGAACAAGATTCCTGATGCTGTATTTCTTTATATACACTTATATCTTATACTAATACATATCACAATATCTATCACTTTTTCAGTTATTGGAGATCTGGTTAGTGAGGTGCGAATTCGTAGGTTGGCACCCTCATGAAGTAATTGATGGTCTAATATACGGGATCACTGCCACTGTCCATTCACTGGCTCTGATGTAGTGAGTGCGTGTGCTACTCATATCGCCAGAAAATGTCCCTTGTGTCCTCTTCACAAGAGATCACAACTCTGACTGGCTACATGGGGAAGCCTGGACTCTTGCCACCTCACAGGGAAAAAATGGGGGTGGGGAGGGGAGGGGGAAGAAATGACACGATGGGGGAGTGAGAGTGCAGAGAGAAGCACGTGGCACTACCTAATTGTATTTATAATGTTCCAATTTGCTTGAACCATTAGATATATGGCTGAGTGAAGGATCGAGATAGTTAGTGGTGCTTGCTTCAGGGGGGATTAAGTGTGTGACGAGGGATGATGCAACTCGAGGGGACCAGCAACGGCGTCAGAGCCCCAGGAGGCCAAGGGCAGTGCAGCTGCCAGGGGCATGTGCCATGTTTCTCCGCCAGTGATCCAGATATAGCTTAGATGCCCTAGCTCACCCGGGCCGCGGGTGGGATGGTTAACCTGGGAGACGGCCACCTCCCCATGTTATTCACGACCCGCTACCTCTCACTACTGAGGCAGACTGGACCTATGCCAAATCTCCCCGTCTCTTCCCTCCCCATCAGCATTATTATTATTATATTAAAAAAAGTCGCTGAATGTGAGTCATTCAGTCTCAACAAGAGGACAAAACAACCCCCATTTTTACACACTGCTATATACCTGTGATCAGCAACTCTCTCCTTCCCCTTATGCATATAACATTGAAATTATACAATGGTATCGACCCAAAATACCCTTTTGGATGTTTTTGCTGATGAGGGGTTCACTATCCAAGGAATTGGAACTGTTCTCCATTTCCTTAGATCAAATCTGATTACCTTCCATTCCCCAGGCACTATACAACCGCTATGAGTTTAGTGCTTCCCCTAAATTTAATAATACTCGGTCCAAAATATGAAGCATTGTTCACTTGATTAATATCGAGTCTCAGCAGGGAAGCAATATGAGGTGTATGGGTCATTAAGACCTAGTGTATAAGAGACAGTACCTGTAATTTGTCCTGGACGGCGGCGTAGTCGTGGTGGTAGAGGTCTAGTGCGGCAATATCAGTGGCAGCAAGCTGCAGCGCCCTGGTGGCGTCGTCCAGCTGGGCCTGAAGGTGCTCAACGAAAGCCGCCTCGCCGCTTAGCCACGTCAGCTTACCTCGGAGGCTCTCGACCAACCTACAATACATAACAATATTTCATAAGATGCTGTCCATTACACTTTTATCCAATCAACACTTAATTAGGGCAACACAAACCAATGAGCACATATAAACAAACCCAGAAGTTTAAGCATGCTCAAGAATTGCAAGGCGAGATAATGGTAGGATTGTAATAACGTCTGTAAACAACTCAAGAAGAGGCAAGGTTCGATCCCACGGTAAGCCAATTCTAAAACTAATAGGCCAGAATTCTAACCTGTGTACCATACTGGCCTTTTAAGATTCGTCAAAACTAATTTCATTTCTATACGTACTACGGTTAGTACAGGCCCCACTGTGGCCACAAATACATTTTTTTTTTTTTACAAATGAATCTCACACGAACTTGGCTGTGCCAAGATTTAGCTCAAATCTCTTCAAAGTTGTTATTAGGTCAGCAAGGATAGAAGGATAGAGTACTGGAATGTTGGTTTTACGACTGGTATGTCATGATTGGAATTCTTCCCATTCGTTAGGTCGGTAGTCAACATTAGTTAGCTTAGTAAAGACAAGTCTTGGTGTCAATACTTCCGGTAACCAAGAAAATCCATCCTTAGGCCATCCGTTATAAAAAAAATGATTGGAGTTAATGGAGGGGAAAAAATTACCCCTCAATAACAGATAATTGACCAATCACAGAACGAGAAACAAACACCATCATCACTGCCAATCTCCAACAGCTGTTATGCATGTTCGTTAATGAAAAACTCACTGGTATCTAGAATAAGTGAAAATATTTGAATTAAAGTCAGGAGTAAGTATTTAATTAATAACTAAAGTAAAAAAAACATTTTTTTTTGGGGCTAAGAAAGTGGATAAGATGTATGGATCTCAGACCCTAACTATTTATTTGCTGGTGGGGGGAGCAGGGGAGGCTCACGCTAATGGCGTGAAGTGAATTGGTCATCCGTAGAACAAAACGAAACCCTAATCATCAGTGGGATTACAAGAATACTCCTAAGATCAGAGCACATGACGAGAACTCGCAAAGTCTAGCTGCCGTGGATCTTCATTAGACTCCCGGAGAGTAGTTTAAAAAAGAACTTGGTTTCCACACCACAACACCTATATGAGGCAGTGAGAACATTTCGTCTAGGTACCTCATGAATTTAATGGAATACCTCATGAATATTAATGGAGTACCTCATGAACATTAATGGACATTATTAGGTATCCCCGAAAGGGACCTTTAAGTGGTTGTCCTGGAGTTTTAAGACTCACCTGCCGTGAGTTCCATCACCACCCGTACCCTGGTATAAAAAAAAAGCTGCCTCCTACTTCGACGACGGCGGAGTAACATTCAAATGTGTAGGTGCAGATTTGACGGTTTTGTGTGTAAAACTGTGTGAATCTTTATTTCCCTTTAATTATCGCGATCAAAATATATGTATCTACCTCTTCTGAATGTCTTCAATATATAATGATTGATGCATTTTACGGATAGGATAGTACCCATTCAGCTTATACTGTGTGTGGGTTAATTTGTCAATACAACAAATATTTTTTAAAACATGGAATAGTTGGAATTTTCATAAAATTGGACTGTCTTGAGAAGAATAACAATAACTTTTAACAGGATTAAAGATCATTTTAAAACTACTACAGCTGAATACTTGCGTTTTTATATTTCCCGAGTTGATTGAACCCTTAATACTGCACGGCATGTTGCCAGAGCCATCCATCTGTTAGCTAGTGTCCTCATACCTAGGTCTATGTTCATAACTTCAGAATGCCTTGTCCAATCGGCTTCAATTTTCTAACTCTGGTTAACTTTTGCTAGATGAAGGGTCACAGAGCAATTGACATGTGTAGGCACACTCAATTTCATATACCTTTGATTAGGTTCAAGAGTTTTTCATTCCAGAAATTGATTTCTATGAGATTACTTTAATAAAGATCCTCTCTTGCCTCTCTTGATCAGCATCACAATTTTACGTATTTTTAATAACCAGGTATTAAAAATATATACACGTATATACATTTTTATATTTTGATGCAGTAGAATTTTATGACCACTCTGCATTATTCCTTTTCCGTGCACTGAGGTAGAGGAAGCTGGGCTACTGAGATACGTGGATACTTTTACCGGATGGCGCAGTGACCGAAATATATCTACTTGTGTAAGGATTAGGACCGGATTGTAAGGGTGTGACCCCCTACATGGAGCCAGTGTATACTGAATGTTTCTCAATCAACTTAAATTTCTGAGCAATTATATATCAAAACTTAATACTGTCCACTCATGACTCTCTTTTGAGATAAATTAAATTTGGAGTTAATAAGCGGGCGTTGAGGAAGGTCTGATCTGGTAACAAGGTTCCCTGTGACGGACAAGGAACTTATTGAAAACCCGGACGATACCAGACTTACAAACCCATCCACTAAAGATAAGTTATTGCTATGGGTTGAAATTTGTATACTATTTCGCTATTGAATTCCTATAGTCGGTATTTGTCCACAATCTGATTTTAACTCACGATGCCGTTAAAGTCAATTCAAAAGAAAATGAAGAGTTCACTCGGACTACCGAGTCTAGTCCAGGTAAGTAAGCGATCACAGATGCCTTAACATCATAGTGACACGAAAGACCCATGTCAGATGATTTTTCCCATGATAAATAAACCAATGAAGAGAAATGAGTGTGATGAGGCAGAACGCGACGCACACGAGGCACATGAACAAGAGAGAGGGTGGGCTGGCAGCCAGACAAGAAGCTAACAAGAACAAGGCAGGTGTGGTGAAGTAAAAACACACTTGAGCCTGGCAGCGCTGAGAGCTCGTTTAAGTGGCGCTCAACCTCTCACCGAGTCTCCCTCATTTGATGAATCAAGTCCATGCTTCATCCACCTTCATGCCACCCAACACGCCACCTATCGAAGGTGAACTTGCAATGTTTGCATTTACAGAATGATCTAACTTGGCGCAGATCACACATACGCACAGGTACACAATTAACACTATATACTCAGTTTGTATCGAGTGTTCCTAGTGGCATGCACGCGGCGGGCCGGCAGTAAGCACACAAACGTCCCACTACCCACCACCATCCTCCATCTTCACTCACTCTTTCATGATCCACCTCCACTATCCTCCCTCAGCCTTTCCAATTCTCTACCGGTCCTCCCCCCCCCCTCCACTCCCAACCTCCAATCCGCCATTCTTCCTAACTCATCTTCAGAGACTGTTGATCCGTTATCCCTATCCTCCCGAAATGAAACAAAAAAACTGAATGTGGAAACAAAATGTGGTACTAGAATGCAGATGGAGTCATAAGAAGTGGAATTAAAAAATAAGGTACAAAAGAAAAGCAAATACATTTTCTGAGTTGAAACTCGCAACATTATTAAGGGCTGTGATATTCCCTGAGTATCAAACAGAAAGAAAATAAAGGAAAAACAGAGGAGTGATGCTGATGATCAAATTCGCTGATTTGAAGAACTGGGAAATCTAAACACTGGAGAGTTCAAAGACTATATTGTAATTAGTAACGACTAGAGGGACATAGGTAAGAGTGGCAGTGGTTTACACCCTCTCCACACCTCACCAAACAACGGAATGCTAATACATGGGTGTATTTTTTATATAGAATAATATATCAGTACGTCAAAAAAGGAGTAAAGAGGCAAGAGGCAATGACCTATTATAGTCAGTGGCAGTAAGAGCAAGAAGAACCAAAGCTAATAGCTGATTTTGAGACACTTTTAATTATTGGGAAACTGACTGTAAGTTAAGACACCCACGGAAACTGGAAACAAACAAAAAAAAAAAACATAATTAAGCAACAATATCTAACTATCTAAAGATAAAAAAAAAATAAACTGATGAGAGTGGGAGTCGTCACAGCAAGGTTATCCAGTTTCCATCCCAAAACGAATACAACATAAGAATTAACTATGATAAGCTACTAGGTGAGAGCCATTATTCAAACATAAGCTTTGGATATTAAGCGGAACAAGGTGTAGAGAAAGAAAATGGATGAGACTAATATCAAATCAAATAACTGAAGAGGGGAATGAAAGTATGATTTAAAAAAGTAAAATGGAAAGTAAGGCAACACGAGAGATGAAGAAGGCAAGTGACACAAATGGGAAACAATCAACCTAGCGTGAGGAAGGAATAAGAAAAATAGAAACCACCCATGGTTTAATCAGGAACACAAAGACGAGAGAAAATAAAAGATTGCATAGAAGACATACCTAATACAAAAAGGCAGAAAAGCATAGTACCAAACAGCAGAAACGGGAACGAATATGTAAGGTTACGAAAGAAATCTAAGTTCGAAAATGATTTAGCACCAAAGGCCAAAATATAAACAATGTTACTCCAGGGCCACACGAGAACTAAAACAACTGTAAAAATAAAGTGATAAGTCTGAAAGATGTAGGAGCACTCAAGGAGGAAGACCAAAAAAAATGGAAAAAAATTAGCAGATTGTGGAAGGTCTTCACAGAAAACTGAGGGGCAGCTACCTGAGTCATGACAGACTAGCAGTTGATAGAGATGGAGCTGCCAAACAACTGGAAAACGGCCAATGCGTTCCATATATACATAAAGGGGAAGAGAAGAGAGATAATCAACTATAGGCGGGTATCTTAGTCATGAATATTATTAAAATATTAACATGGTACCCCACCTTAGACTAAACTCCAAATTTGAAGAATGTGTATGGTTTAAAAGTAAAATGTACCAATGGATCAGGGAGTAACTGAAAGGCAAAATACAAAGCTTAACCATAAGAAATAAATCTCAGAATGAACGAGAGACGAAAGGGGTCCCATATTGGGACCCCTTTCGTTACTCGTCCTAGAAACAGTCCCATATATGGGACTGATTTTTTTAAAATATTTGCAAATTATCTACCAGAATGGGTCGAGTTTTGTCTGATGTAAAATTAATGAAAGGGAGAAGAACAAGAGAGTAAAGAGACAAGCTCCAGAGATATTTACCAAAATTACAGACGTGGCCCAAGGAGTGGCT